GCTTCGATGCGTACTTCACCTCTCGGACTCTGGAGAACAACCGCAGGAACGTCTGGTTCGCTGAGTACTGGGAGGAGAACTTCAACTGCAAACTGATGAGTTCCTCCAAGAAGGACGACAGCAGCAGGAAGTGCACCGGTCAGTAAATACTCGTTAGTGACTCGTTAAGTGATGATTAGCTGAGAGTTATTGATTGACTGATTTAGAACTGTAGAGGAGATTAACAGACATGAGCAGCAGAGGATAGGAAAGTGAAGAGTCTGAGCTGGTGGTGATCAGGATGATGAAGAGCAGGAGAGTTCTTCTGACCTGGGAACTGGATGTGATTTAAAAAAAAATCGATTATTTTTTAAGATGAATTTACCTTTGTCAATTGATGTGATTTATTTTTTCAACCAAAAAATACTGTATCTCTTGGTTAAATGGTTGATGGATGATTGATGGACGATTGATGGATGATTGATGGACGGTTGATGGTTGATCGATGTATGGTTGATGGATGGTTGATGGACGGTTGATGGACGATTGATGGTTGATCGATGTATGGTTGATGGATGGTTGATGGACGGTTGATGGTTGATCGATGTATGGTTGATGGATGGTTGATGGACGATTGATGGATGATTGATGGTTGATCGATGGATGGTTGATGGACGATTGATGGATGATTGATGGACGATTGATGGTTGATCGATGTATGGTTGATGGATGGTTGATGGACGATTGATGGATGATTGATGGACGATTGATGGTTGATCGATGTATGGTTGATGGATGGTTGATGGACGATTGATGGATGATTGATGGACGATTGATGGACGGTTGATGGACGGTTGATGGTTGATCGATGTATGATTGATGGACGCTTGATGGATGCTTGATGGACGATTGATGGATGATTGATGGACGATTGATGGACGATTGATGGACGGTTGATGGACGGTTGATGGTTGATCGATGTATGATTGATGGACGCTTGATGGATGCTTGATGGACGATTGATGGACGATTGATGGACGATTGATGGATGATTGATGGTTGATCGATGGATGGTTGATGGATGATTGATGGACGATTGATGGACGGTTGATGGACGGTTGATGGTTGATCGATGTATGATTGATGGACGCTTGATGGATGCTTGATGGACGATTGATGGATGATTGATGGACGATTGATGGACGATTGATGGACGATTGATGGACGATTGATGGATGATTGATGGTTGATCGATGGATGGTTGATGGATGATTGATGGACGATTGATGGATGGTCAATGGACGATTGATGGACAATTGATGGATGGTCGATGGACGATTGATGGACGATTGATGGTTGATCTCAGAACTTATTTAAATGTGATTTGATGAAAGTAAATCTTAGGGCAAAGAGTGAAACCCTTTAGCTGTGACACATTTATAAAACACTTTACAGAATCCCCTGTTTTAACTCGCACCTATAATCATGCTGGTCCAAATGCATTTTCGTCCAAATAAAGTTCTAATTTGAAATGTTGATGCTTCAAATTCAATAACACTTTGATAAATGCTGTGACTGTTTGAAACACTTTTCCACAAACCCCTAAAAGCACTTTTATATTCATAAACACATCTGTTGTCCTTTTATCTGTTTACCACTAACTCAAAGTGTTTTATGACCCATTTATTTATTGTGTTTATAAAGCCTATGAATCTATGGTTCATGCAGGGTAACAATATGTTTAGTTTGAGGTCAGTTTATTCCACGGAACAGATGCAGGACTCAGTTCAGCTGGGACTCTGAACAGGGTTGTTTTTTGATTATATATTTCAGTATTTGAGCCGTCTGTGGATGTTTAATACCCCGGAGACGAGCCTCAGCTGCTGTCCCTCGGTTTGTTTGCTGTGCAGGATTTAGTAAATAAATATGTATATGGTTTCCATTCTGCAAACATTTTGACCTAAAAAACTTCTGAGAAGGATTCAGACGTGGTAACAACAACAACTGAGGACACAATGAGAAGAATACCTGGGATTGTTTTAATGTCCATTAAAGCCTCCTTACAATACATCTATAATAAATCCCACTCTCAGGCCTCAATGTGACAAGACAATGGGTTTTAGGGGTTTTAATAAAATACAAGTAAAACCTTTCTTTTAAATGTAGTTTTTATCTTGCATAAAAACATAAACATGAAAATATGCAATCATTACATTACATGACATGTTACTTGTTAGACGCTTTTATCCAAAGCGACTTACATACTCAATACTGAGGACAATCCCCACAGGAGCACTTTGGGGTGAAGTGTCTCAGGGACACAACGACATGCTGACTGCAGTGGGGTTTGAACCTGTGCTCCCCTGATCCCAACACCAACGCACTCTCCACTGCGCCACACGCCTCCGCAATCAAACAAACTCACGGATAATATTGTAATGACATGTATTATTATTATTATTATTATTAATACAATAAATTACATAAACGTAAGAAATTATATACATATAAAGTATATACAATTAAAGGTTGAATTAAATGAATTGTGAACAGTTGATTGTAATTATGTAGAAGAAAATGTATAGAATTAAAATGTCAAATTAAATGTAATTTCAATACAAATATTTATACTGAAAGAATAAAATGCCAGCAAGAATATTTATACAAATATTGAAAAGTTAAAGATAAAATAAACACTGAAAATTGAATGAATTGTACAAAAAAATAATTAAAGTAAAATTCGAAATACAAAGATAAAATTAAATATAGTTAAAATATCTTAATAGAAACACAAAGTTACATGTATAGGTATTGAGAGACTACATTAATAGCAGAATCAGTGCTGTACATCATGACCTGCTCTCACTGCAACACCTTGGACAATCATGTGTTAAAAACCCGTTCACTGAAACTGTTTAATGTGCATTTATAAAAAACATGCTTGGTTCAATCGAACAGGAAATGAAACCTTGGTAATTAATCTGGTGATTGTTTGAGATCCCTCTCTGTGTTTCTGCTGGTATCACCTCCTGAGTCACTTCGTCCTGTTTCTCTGTGATCTGCTCATTAGCACATATTCTCTCTCTGAGTGAAACAGCTGCTTCTATTAGGCAGCAATCAGCCGTACATCAGAGATAAGAGGTCACAAATCAGCAGACTGACGCAGATTCCAAAACACTCATTATTCTGAGTATGTTACATTGTATAAGCAATACATGCTGGTTGGTTAAATGGTTGGTTGGTTGGTTGGTTGGTTGGTTGGTTGGTTGGTTGGTTGGTTGTCTTTGTCTTTATTAGGATCACCATTAGCACTAGCATGATCATTGGCTATTCTTGTTAGCCAATGTTAGTTGGTCGGTCGGTTTGTTGGTTAAATGTTTGATTGGTTAAATATTTGTTTGGTTGGTTTAATTGTTGGTTGGTTTAATGTTTGGTAGGTCGGTTGGATGGTTAGTTGAATAAATGGTTGGTTGGTTGGTTGGTTGGTTGGTTGGTTGGATGGTTAGATGGATAGTTAAATAGTCGGTTGGTTGGTTGGTTGGTTGGTTGGTTGGTTCAGAAAAAGTGAACAATAAGTGAGCTTTATTAAATAAAAACAAACCAGGAAGACTTGTTGAGGGCAGACAGGGGGAATCCAGAATAAAGACAAACAACCAGGAGCTGTTATTAACGAAACAATCTTTGTAACAGTTTATTTAAATACTGAATTCATTCACATGTACTTGGCGATGTAGTAAAATATCTAGTTATACAAGATCTGGATTCAAAGCTAAACTGAACGTAAACGGGAGGCGTGAAGAAGTGGGTTTTGCAAACTATGTGATCTTTAAGGGGTTCATTTTGTTTGCTGGAGCCACATCAAGAGAGTGTGCAGATCATGTTGTGGTGCAAATAAAAGTCAAAATAAACTGTGGGTAAAATACATCTCGTCCTACATTTGAATAGAGATGTGCCTCAACTCAGATTTAAAAAACACTTTTTGAGGAGCAGCGATTAGCTTCGTCTCCCTTTAGTTTCCGTCTGTTTCCTGAAGGCTGGAGAGGGAATGAGGTCTGAAGAGTCTGAGAGGCTGGAGAGGGAATGAGGTCTGAAGAGTCCTGAGAGGCTGGAGAGGGAATGAGGTCTGAAGAGTCTGAGAAGACTGAGAGAGGGAATGAGGTCTGAAGAGTCTGAGAGACTGGAGAGGGAATGAGGTCTGAAGAGTCCTGAGAGGGCTGGAGCTAGGGGAAGGGAATGAGGTCTGAAGAGTCTGAGAGGCTGGAGAGGGAATGAGGTCTGAAGAGTCTGAGAGGCTGGAGAGGGAATGAGGTCTGAAGAGTCTGAGAGGCTGGAGAGGGAATGAGGTCTGAAGAGTCTGAGAGGCTGGAGAGTGGAATGAAGGTCTGGAAGAGTCATGAGACTGGAGAGGGAATGAGGTCTGAAGAGTCTGAGAGGACTGGAGAGGGAATGAGGTCTGAAGAGTCTGAAGAGGCTGGAGAGGGAATGAGGTCTAAAGAGTCTGAGAGGCTGAGAGGGAATGAAGGTCTGAAAGAGTCTGAAGAGGCTGTGAGAGGGAATGAGGTCTGAAGAGTCTGAGGGGCTTGAGAGGGAATGAGGTCTGTGAAGAGTCTAGCGAGACTGGAGAGGGAATGAGGTCTAAAGAGTCTGAGAGGCTGGAGAGGGAATGAGGTCTGAAGAGTCTGAGAGGCTTGAGGGAGGAATGAGGTCTGAAGAGTCTGAGAGGCTTGAGAGGGAATGAGGTCTGAAGAGTCTGAGAGACTGGAGAGGGAATGAGGTCTGAAGAGTCTGAGAGGCTTGAGAGGGAATGAGGTCTGAAGAGTCTGAGAGGCTGAGAGGGAATGAGGTCTGAAGAGTCTGAGAGGACTGGAGAGGATGAGGTCTGAAGAGTCTGAGAGACTGGAGAGGGAATGAGGTCCTGAAGAGTCTGAGAGGCTTGAGAGGGAATGAGGTCTGAAGAGTCTGAGAGGCTTGAGAGGGAATGAGGTCTGAAGAGTCTGAGAGACTGGAGAGGGAATGAGGTCTAAAGAGTCTGAGAGGCTGGAGAGGGAATGAGGTCTGAAGAGTCTGAGAGACTGGAGAGGGAAGGAATGAGGTCTGAAGAGTCTGAGAGGCTGGAGAGGGAATGAGGTCCTGAAGAGTCTGAGAGGCTTGAGAGGGAA